GAATCAAATGCGAGTAATTTGACACCAATGCGAATATTTTGACACCTATGCGAATACTTTGAAACAAATACAAATTCAAAACAAAGAAACAAATACAAAAACGAATTCACCAACATTATTATTCACCGAATAACAACAATGGGAATACTTTGGAACAAATGCGAATATTTTTGACACCAATGCGAATACTTTGAAACAAATGCGAATACTTTGACACTAATAGAAATACTTTGAAACAAATACAAATACTTTGACACCAATGTGATACTTTGACACCAATGTGATTACTTTGACACCAATGTGATTACTTTGACACCAATCCGGATACTTTGACACCAATGCGAATAATTTGAAACAAATACGAATAATTTGACATTAATGTGAATACTTTGACACCAATGCGGATACTTTGACACCAATGTTAATACTTTGACACCAATGCGAATACTTTGAAACAAATACGAATACTTTGAAACAAATACGAATACTTTGAAACAAATACGAATAATTTGACACCAATGTGAATACTTTGACACCAATGTGATTACTTTGACACCAATGTGATTACTTTGACACCAATCCGGATACTTTGACACCAATGCGAATACTTTGAAACAAATACGAATACTTTGACACCAGTGTGAATACTTTGACACCAATGCGGATACTTTGACACCAGTGTGAATATTTTGACACCAATGCGGATACTTTGACACCAATGTGATTACTTTGACACCAATGCGGATACTTTGACACCAATGTGAATACTTTGACACCAATGTGAATACTTTGACACCAATGTGATTACTTTGACACCAATCCGGATACTTTGACACCAATGCGAATACTTTGAAACAAATACGAATACTTTGACACCAGTGTGAATACTTTGACACCAATGCGGATACTTTGACACCAATGCGAATACTTTGACATCAATGCGAATACTTTGACACCAATATGAATACTTTGACATCAATGCGAATACTTTGAAACAAATACGAATACTTTGAGAGTAAACAAATGCGAATACTTTGAATCAAATGCGAGTACTTTGGAACAAATGCGAATACTTTGAAACTAATACAAATACTTTGACACCAATGCGGATACTTTAACACCAATGCGAATACTTTAACACCAATGCAAATACTTTGAAACAAATACGAATACTTTGACACCAATGCGAATACTTTGAAAAAAATACGAATACTTTGACACAAATGCGGATACTTTGACACAAATGCGAATACTTTGACATCAATGCGAATACTTTGAAAGTAAAACAAATGCGAATACTTT